CTCTTTTTAATGAAGGTGAACCTGGAGTATCTGGAAAACAAGCTGGAGGCTCTGGATGGAGATGAAGTGATGATGATTAAGGAAAACATCAACAGCCTGTTCCATCACTGCGTCCAGGCTTTGGAAGAAGACCACCAGATCAAAGTAGTCAACGCTCTGCAGACTCTTTGCGCACTCTTCAGAGGTGTGCATCAAAAAAACAAATCAGCTACCGGCTTCGATATCATTAATATGCTGGTGGGATTCGACAAAGCTGAGCTCAGGATGAAGGATCTCATGGAAAGCCTGGACAGTTTGCTCTGTGGAGACGGCTCGGAGAGCCTGAAGAGCCTGTGCCTAAAGTTGTTACTCTGTCTGGTTACGGTGACGGACAATATCAGTCAGAATACTATCCTGGAATACGTCATGATCAACAGCATATTTGAGGCCATTTTACAGATCTTGTCGGATGTTTCGAGCAGAGCGCAGCATGGCTACGACGCCGTGGTTCTCTTGGCTCTCTTGGTGAACTACAGGAAATACGAATCGGTGAATCCCTACATTGTGAAGTTATCCATAGTGGATGATGAACCAACTCTGGCTGGTATGGGCATGGTTATCCAGCAAGCTCTTACAGAATACAACAGGCAGTACAAAGATAAAGAAGAGGACAACCACGGAGGATTTTTTTCCACGCTGACCAGCATGGTAGGCAGTATGTTCATCGCTGACGCAGACGAGAAGCTGTCGGTGCAGACTAATGAAGCCATCCTGCTCGCCCTCTACGAGGCAGTTCATCTAAACAGGAACTTCATCACTGTTCTCGCACAAAGTCATCCAGAGATCGACATTGCGGCGACGCCAGTCACGCCCACCCCCACTACACCTACAACCCCGCTTGGTACCACCCCTCCTTCTTTAGACGTGATGCATAACCCTGAGCTGCCGCTGGACCCCAACCTTCAAACGAGCAACCTGCTCATCACCTTTCTCAAATATTCCTCCATCGTCATGCAAGACACCAAAGACGAACACAGACTCAACAGCGCCCGACTGTGCCTCATCATCCTCACGTGTATAGCCGAAGACCAGTACGCTGACGCCTTCCTCCACGACGACAACATGAACTTTCGAGTTAACTTGCACCGAATGCCGATGCGGCACAGAAAGAAAGCGGCGGACAAGAACATCCCGTCTCGACCTCTCGCGTGCGCCGTCTTGGATCTGATGGTCGAGTTCATCGTCACTCACATGATGAAGGACTTTCCTATGGATCTCTACATGCGATGCCTTCAGATTATTCACAAGCTCATCTGCTATCAGAAGAAATGCAGGATTCGGCTGCACTACACTTGGAGAGAACTTTGGTCGGCCCTCATTAACTTGCTGAAGTTCCTGCTGTCAAATGAAACCATCTTGCTGTCCAAACACAACATCTTCCACTTGGCTTTACAAGTTGTCCATCTCTTCAACATGTTCATCACATACGGAGACACGTTCCTGCCAACCCCGAGCAGTTACGATGAGTTGTATTACGAGATCATACGCATGCACCAGGTATTCGATAACCTTTACTGCATGGTGCTCAGGGTCTCCACCAACGTCGGCCAGTGGAAGGAGCCAGCAAGTAAAGTCACCCATGCGCTGGTTAACGTCCGAGCCATCATCAACCATTTCAACCCGAAGATCGAATCCTACGCCGCCGTGAACCATATCTCCCAACTTTCAGAAGATCAGGTGCTGGAAGTGGTACGCTCCAACTACGACACGCTGACTCTGAAGCTGCAGGATGGTTTGGACCAGTTTGAGCGCTATTCAGAGCAGCCCAAAGAAACAGCATTCTTCAAGGAGTTGGTGCGCTCCATCAGTCTGAACGTGAGGAAGAATGTTTCTCTCAACACTCTGAGTCAGGATGTTCTTTTGAAGGAGTTCTCTTCTATATCTTGAGATCTTGACACCTTGACACAACCACACACCCGTAACCGTAACTAAGGGGGAAAACAATCAAGTCATCTTTGTCTACTAATTTTCAAGTCTGTCCCCATGTCCGAGTTTTGCTGGAAATCACACCTTGCTTAACACCCAGAGCTGAAAGTGTTTGCAACTATTTT